CAAACATATGTGTTGATAGTTTAGCTATGTTATCTAACAATATGTTGTCTAGACGTAGGTATTTTGATAGTCCTGTTTCTGTTACTTAGTTACTTTGGGAGGATTGTGCCCGTTTTGGTTCTTAGTGTTATTGTATCTCCTAGTTAAAAGAATGCAACATTTGAGAAGAGTGAGCATTAGTCTCAAAATGTATATGCAAAGCCAACCACACTGCTTGTGGAAAATTACAAATTACGTTTGAAAAAGAGGTGGTGAATTAATTCTATTGTCCTATCATGATTTTGTAAGAAGGGGATTTTATCCTTTGAAGAATAGCATCCCAATATAATTTCCAAAGAAAATTTTGAAAATGGAAGGGAATCTTCAGCTTTAACCYAAGTAGAAGAGCTGACAATATGTTGCAAGAAGCACCTATTAGAAAATTTTGCAGTATACATATGGGAGTTTTGAGTAATAGTAAAAGACACAACCAATATGCTAAATAATATGTACATTGAGTATTTGTTGGACTTTGTGTTGGGTGAATATTTGAGAGAGCAGTTTATAGTATTCTTGTTTCCATCCACCTGTAGAACATCTTYTATTTTGATTGAGCTTGCATTGCTAATCTAGTTGTCCTTAAGAATAGGTTGATTCGTATGTATTGTGGGTACCCAWGGAGTCCGGATCTCTTGCCCAYGTTAATCGCAGYCACATATGGAGAAYATCTCATCCTTTGCATAGTATTATGTAGGGGGGAGATGTTCCCAATTCAYGGARGTAGTGTATTGTGGGCAGAGTTCTCATGGACAGGAGATCCAGAGTCATACCCATGAGCCTCTAATTAGAAATGATTGAGACAACATTAGCAATTTCCRAAGTTGTTTCCCAAACAGCTTTATTCATCTCCTACAATTTTTTAAAGCCCAAACCTCTTTCATTCTTATTCTTAGGTTTTCCTAGTTTTCCCAACTTAGAGTGTACATTCTTGAATTTGAATTGGTTCCCAGCCACCAAAAGTTTCTCTGTAACTTATTCCATTTCATTTAAACATTCCTAAGGAAGGAGAGCAGTTGACATCAATGTTTTAAAAAACGATCCGGAAATGAAATCGTTCTAGCCACTGGTTTTTGGGTTGACGGTCTGACCATCCGGTTCGAACGGACGGTCCATTCTGACAACAAAATTAAAAAAAATAAAAAATAAAAAAATGGTCAAAACCGTTGAACGGGTCAACGGGTCGACGATTTGACCGCCCGGATCAATGTTTTATTGACTTTTTCAACAGTTTTTGACCAAATTCTGGATTTGGAGTAAAATAGAACTRATTGCCTAGACGGTTTCCAGGCCAAACCTCTGACCGTCCAAATCAACGACGATTCTAAAATGTCGGTTGACATAGTGTAAACAGGTAGAGCCTGATAGTAGCTTGCTCGCCTAAGATTGAATATTGGAATTCCACATAAAGATTCTATTCTTAATTTTATTAATTAATTCCTTATAAGCCTTCACCTTCCCCTTACAAATCCATAATCTTGTGCCCAAATATTGTCCTTACTGTCCATTTGCTTCACCCCAAACATGTGAATGATGAACATCCTTTTCTTTCTGTGAATGTTGCTACTAAAGGATTGAACTCTTGTTTGGGTTAATCCTTTCATCTGACATTCTTTCAAATTTCTGTTAAAAAAATTAAAGTTCTTTCAATTTAGCAATTTCAATCTTATAAAAGAAGTAAACAATCATCTACAAAGAGCATATGTGAAATATGCCAAGCATCCTTTGCTAGATTTAGGCCCACGAATATAAAAAATAAATAGGGGAGAGAGAGAGGATCTCCCTACCCTAGGCCCAAATGTAGCTTGAATAACTTAGAACACCATTTACTTAAATTGAGAAAGAGGGGGTAATTATGCATTGTTTTATCAATGAACACCATTGTTGTGAGCAACCCATCCCCTCCAACCATCTCTACTATAAACTCTCTTTTGGCTATCATATGCACTGGACATGTCCAACTTGATGGCTACCCAACCCACAACTTTTTTTCTTAGTCATTTTATTTCTCAATTCTCTAGCTATTATGATATTACCGATTGAATTTCTACCCTTAATGAATGCTGATTGGTTTTTAGATATTAACTTACACAACTTATTTTTTAATTTGTCCACCAAACACTTGGAAATTATCTTGTATAGAACATTACATTTGTTAGAAAAATTACATCCATGGTCATGTTGTTGGAGTTGTGATCACATTTTTAACATTTATGGGATTGTTAAGCTACTATCTCAATCATCTCTTTCCCATCTTCTTGGAGGCTTAGAGTTGAGTGGAGAGTCATCTAAGAATAAGAAGGGTTGAATTAGAGTTTGTAAGCTCAGAGCAGCTAAATGGGAGGCATGGCTCTATTTTTAAATATATATTTGCATTTATTTTATTTAACAATGTTTTTTCAAAACTAGTATCAGAGTTCTTTGAAATGTTAAAAAATGCAAATTTTGTTTTCCGGTGATTTGGCCAGAGTTCGACAAAATATATGCCGGATATTGATCGGCATCCGGCTCCGTCACTTCCGGCCACCGGTTAGCCTTAGACAGGTCGAAGATGGAGGGTTTGAAATCACCCAAATAATTATGCAAAACCCGGTTTTGAATGAAAGTCGGGCAAAGAAGACGATATATTTGAGTCGCTGAAGACTTATTTTCGACGGACACGTATTACGACACAATGGGGGTCGTGGTTGCCATGGCACTGTATCCGACATGCTACCCGTTCCAGATCAGTTCCATGCAAACTGAGTCGTTTGAACGCATTCAGACCAGTTTAACTTGGTCTATGCGAACCAAACCAGTTCCAGTTTACATCGAAACACTTTTTGGGACCGGTTCGACATGTTTTAGGCCAGTTCTTGACCGATTCTAGGCATATTCAGGATATTAACACCCATTTAAGCATATTTTAACCATTTTATTCAACTTAAATCGCATTTTGGCCCTTATTCTTGTAATAAATACCTGGTTCAGCCTAGTTTGCATTTTATTTGATAATTAGGGGAATTTTGTTCCAATTTAATGGCATGAAGAGTGATTATAGGGCCTAAATATAATTATTACTACTACTTTTTTCCTTAAGATTGGATTGTTTATGGTTTGATTTTATAAATTGCCATTGACACTATATGAAAGGCCAATTTGAGAACCGAAAGCCAAAGCAATTGGGACTCAATTTGGTATTCGATGCTTTGTGATTTGGATATTGGTTGTCCATTCCATTGAATCCATAAATGGCTTACCCAAAGGTAACATCATTTACTATGATTTAATTAGAGTGATCAAGGGATCTACATATGTGTATTTATTATTAATTGTTTGAACCCAAAGGTTTAAGTGGTTAATAGCTAAGTACACGCATGTGTAGTTTGCTTTTATTATTAATTGTTTGAACCCAAAGGTTTAAGTGATTAATAGTTAAGTACATGCATGTGTAGTTTGCCTGGTTGTGTGATTAGATTCACTTGTTGATATGGAATCACTCTTGAACCCAAAGAAGAGAGGGTGAGACCATATACAACTTGGTCATTTGATAATCATGCTTATCAACTTAGATGCATGATTTGAAATTTGTTTATTTTTCTCCCATGTGTAAATTAAAATTGGCCTTTATATTTGTATGGCAGCCTTTTAACACTCAAAACATTTTTGCCCAATTTCAACCATTCTCCATTGAACTTTTGACTAGAACAACTACTAAAGAAGGAAAAGTCAAATTGATTCAGTCCTAGGGGCTTGTGGATATGACATTTGCCTCATACAACCCAAGTCTCTACAACCTCCAACAAATGTAAGTAGTTAAGCCTACACTAGATATAACAATTGGCAACAGGCCAACAAAATGGCTCTTCTTATCATTTAGAGCAGGATTTTTTAGCCTTTAAAACTTGGCATTCCAATATGTGACACTACTAGGGAAATCCTTGATGCTATCAAAAGTTAGTTTGCAGGCTCAACAAAGGCTATCATTATGAGTTTGTTTTCCCAACATTTTGTTTCAAAGTTTTAACAACCTAGGAATATTAGAGAATTTATCGTTAAGGTATCAGGGATTGTTTATCAGCTATAATATCTAAAGATGAACCTCAATGATGATTTCCTTGTTTATGGTGTGTTATTTGCTTTGCCCAAATCATTTGAAACCTTTGTGGTTAACTACAATAATACTAGTACTCACAAATAGAGTGTGAATGAACTAATAAATCAATGTGTACTAGAGGAGGAGAGACAAAAGAAGGGCAGGATTGAATTAGCACATGTTGCAAGTTTGGACCAAGGAGAAAACAATTTAAGAAGAATGGAAAAACAAAAATCAAAAGTATAAGGAGAAAAGTTCTACTAAGCCTGAGCATAAGAAGGTAGAAGGTATTATCTGCAATTATTGTAAGAAACTAGGGCAGTACAAATTTGATTATTAGAAGTTCAAGAAAAAGGATAACAAGCAAGATAACCCTTTAGCCTAAGCGTACTCAGAATTGAACATTGTGGGTATAGGTGAATTGATTCTAAGTGTACTGTTCACATTTCCAATGCCTTATAAGGGTTACTAATGTAAGGAAGATTGATTTAGAGAGCATCTACATCTGAATGGTGGGGACTGTATATATATATATATATATATATATATATATATATTACATGTCTAAAGTACGAACCTGCACATAAAATAGCAACGTGAGAAGCTTTCGGAATTTCACATGGCCTTGTGGTTTAATCCACCTAAATGGCTTAGTCAATGTAAACAAGAACAACAAAACCAATCTGTACGGGCGTACAATCCTAAAATGGCTCAAAGAATGTCAAATGCAGTTTAAGACTTTAAGTTACCTATCTTTTACTCGATCACATATGCCGTAAGTTATGGCATCGGCCTATGCAATAAGTTATCTTTTAAGCTAAATCTGAATGTAGTTTAATTTTAATTTCTGAAAAAGAAAATATAAAAGTTTGACAAAAGTGCCAAAAAATGAAAAATGGAAAGGGCCATACTCAAGAATATTCGTCTTTAATGAGGTAAAACAGAACGCATACATTCAAATCTTTAACCAGAATTTTACATGTAAAATAGCTAAAAGATTTGTCTGAACAATTTGTACTCTGAAAATAAGACAAGTCATGATATCATCCCACCTTCAGAAAACTCTCCTGTCAAAGATCACACCAAAATCAATATCTTTTTTCTCCATTCAGAGTTAGCCGGATAGCAGAATCCTTGCACTGATTCTTGAATAAGTTAGCCACCAGACTTGAGTGTATTACTCAACCTGCAAGGACATGTATCAATGTACAAATAAAAATAAGGATATGTATCAATTTTCAATCGGGCTTCCATAAAATTGAGTTGTATAACTCCATTTGCTTCTTCTATATATGATAGTTTAGACAAGGCTTARTTAGGGGTGAACATAAAAACAAGGATAGTAGGGGTGAGCAAAAAAACAAAAAACAAAAAACGAAAAACCAAAACAACCAAAAAGCAAACCAAAAATTTCGGTTTTGGTTATTTTGGTTATTTTATAATTTGGTTTCAGTTTGGTTTTTATTTTTTTAATTCGGTTTTAAAAATTTCAGTTTGTTCGGTTTGGTTTTTAACAGAATAAACTTGAACGCTCACCCCTAGGCTTAGTTGAGTAATAATTATAGAGAGAAATCCAATAGWATGCTATTATCACAATTTTATTCAGTTGAGGCAGTTGGGAACMAGATATAATAAATCAAGTTACAGAAGATATATACAGGGCCACCAATATGTTCTAAATCAAGCTCATAAATGATATTATGACGAAACTATCATTCTTAGTTGAAGAAACTTCAACTTTTTGTGGATGAGATGGAGGTTCTCATTTCTTATTGTACATTGTGAAATCCTATTAATTTCTCCCTTGCATTATTCTTGCAAAATCAGGTTTGACCAAAAAGATGAAAATATGTAACGGAAATAGTTCCTCTTCGACATGTAAAAAAAATTAATCATTCATTGCAATGTTGTTCGACTCAGATGAGGGGGTTTGCAACTTTGTAGATTTGGTGGTTCTCTTCTAGGAAAATCAGGGAAAATGCTGAAGCAGATTAACAGGATCAAGGATTTCCTTCTTACAGCAAGAAGAAAAGCATGTTCTGTCAAAATCATAAAATGCAAAGATGTGGTTAAGGTTCATTGCTCCAAGTATGTATGACTCCGAGAGGCAGATAAGTTGAAGCAGTCTCTTCATCCAGGCCTGAGTACCCAAGATCTGTGAATAGAGGATCTGAGCATGTTTGGATGATTTCACCTTAATTTTGGTAAGAACAGAGACTGTTACCTGTGAGCATTTCTTAATTGCATGCCCTTTTATAAAGTCAGACTTAGACCAGACAAGACTGCCGGACTATCAGACTGGTTGTTATTCCATTTTATTTTACCAACCCAACCAGCTTTCGATGATCWGCCCAATCACTACTTTGTCACAATCACAAAATGAACCTACCACCTCTCCTTTACGTAAAGTAACATACCAACCTGGAGGCTGAACTGTTTTTCCCTCCAGGTCATGGATCACTAGTTCAACCACCCAGGTCAAACCGATCAATCCTTGACGTGCCCAAATTTATAAATAAATATTTGAGACCAAAAGAGGAGTTTTGTGGCAAAATTAGTGGGGCAAGGCATTGGAACACAGACCTCGAAAAGTTACCCAAAATCAAGAAAAAAAAAAGATCTCCTCAATCCAACCACTGAGAGCAAAGTTATGGCCTTCGGAAGTTTTCATATACATTGAAATTTATATGAATAAAAACCAGCTGGTTTTATGAAAA